CGTGTATGACAAAGCCCGCAAAGCAATAATTTTCATTGATGGACTTGCATTTGAAGACTGAAGCTGCATATATTGCAGAAAGAAAAAAAAAAATTACTTGATTATGATGTACAAAGGTAATTCAAAATTTTGAATATGTAAAGCTCTGACTTGCAGGGACAACTACAAGAGTTGTTCAGTTAAACTGCAAACCTGCTTTCCGAGAAAAACAGAAAAGCTCCTCTGGCTTGGTTCCATCATTTGATCAATTACGCCAACCCGTAGGATGTAAAGAACACATGCCTTCAAAAGTGAGAATGTAAATTAAGAAATTTGATCCAGAAACATCATTGATGTTTTATAAGAGTTAGCATTGTCTCCATTTTGTTTTCAAGCTATGCATAGTATGTTTGATAACTTATCCAGAGTATATGACAAGGTTGGAATTGCAAGGACATGAAAGAAGTATCACGTACCAGTGCATGGGCATCAATTGTGGAGTCACCCCGCAGCATGTCCATGACATGCAAAGAATAGTCTTGAAGCTCACTATCTGGATCCAGATACCTTATCCTAATGGCCTGGAAAATTCAATTCAACACTTTCTAAGTTTACAAGGGCATGGTGCTGAACTGAAGATATGTAAGTAGATAATCACAAGACTCTACGAATAGGTTCACTACAAACAAGAAAAATGCTGGTCTTATGATATGGCAATATAGGCAGTATGCAGATATAACCCTTGATAACAATTGGTGAAATTTTGAAAAGGCCCATGTCAAATGTTAAGAATAATGTCTCATCGTCAGTTTGAAATGCAAAATCTATTCAACTCACAAGGACAACACATTTTTTTTCTTTCTATTCCAGCGTTTGTTTACCTGTAAAAAGAAAACCCATGACAGAGCCAAACCAAACCGCTTGTTCTTTGCCCGAGCTCCAACCGCTGTAATTTAAGTAATTTTTAACGGGGATTAAAATTAGTGCTTTTCAGAAAAAAAAAAGATTTACTGCAATTTGAAAGAAGAAAAACTGTATATATATCCCAAGTCTGGGGAGTTTTTGAACCAAAATTTTACACACATAGATCCTGTTATAAAAACCATATTATTGTATGAGGTTAGAACTATATGCTAGTTTCTAACAGCGATTTCTTACTGTGAACACCTCACACAGTGCCTGTACTACAGGGACTAAAGAGGCTCTGCCACAATTTCAAAAGCAAAATAGAAAAGGTATACAACGTGTCTGTGGAAAAATATGATTACTAATGTCATCATTCTGTCTCCAATGACTCATAACGTGTGTGTGACTTACCTTTTGTGAAGGGTACAATTAGATGCCTCTGCAAACCACCTTCCAGTTTCTTTGCTGGTGGAAATGGACCTTTACCTCTAGGTTGGACCTAACATACAAAAGTCAAATTCCATAAACACAAAATTTTGAAGACAAGACGGAAGTAAATTACTAGAGAAATAGGTCTACGTGTGCTTCAGGATGCACTCCTAGCGCAAGCAGTGAGCCCAAAGCCTCTGCAAATGCATCGCGGACAGATGATTCCGAATCTTCAATACCCTACATTAACAGAGGCAAATAAATATATTTAGATATAAACATCAGGCAAAAAAGAAACTGAAAGAAGACGATTGAAAAACATACAGCTTTCACTAGCACATCAAACTGACCTTGAGACAGTAAGACGCCAAAGTATCAAATTCACTAGTACCAAGACCAGGTCCTCCAATGTTGCAAAAGGCCTTCAAACAACGAGCAGCAGCAATTCTCACTACGAATGATTTGTCGAAAGTGGAAAATCTTGTGATCAGACGGTATGCTTCTGAGTACGCAGTGGCAGCAGCTGTACCACCGCAGCCTTCCAAAGCATTGTGAAGCAAGATAAATGCTTCTTGTCTCACAAAATCCTAAAAGGAAGGGAAACGACAAGTTTAATTAATAACTAATAGCTGCAGTATACAGGTCAGTTCTCACTCATTTCCACAAGTTTCTTGACAATATTAATGACACAGTAAATTGGTTTATACAATCTACCAGAGATATTAGGACACAGTAACAATGGTTGCAGATACAAATCCATTCCTATTTGCAATTTTCACAGCGTATGGTTCTTTCTATATAGTACAACTGAGCCCGCTGATGGTAAAAAACCATTGATGTAAATTACATATAGAGTTTTGCTAAACCAGCCAAATTTACTCTTCCAAATGACAGCAAGAACTTAGAGAATCGTAAAGTTGAAACCACAATACCTCGTTAAACTTCACCAATTTTGTCACAATAACAGTAGTTTCGGACAAGCCAGAAGTAATTTTCCTGCCAAAATGACGATACAGCTCTCCCAAGCATTGTGCAGCACCTAGAAAAAAAATGTATCTATAAAATTAGGAACACTAACACAAGACCAAATAAACACAAAGTAATAACTTCGACAGCAATTTCCAATAAGAGATACTGCAACCAAACGCATGCATGAACTTCATGAAATATATATAAATGCTTGCTGTGCTCGATATGAATACCAAAATGGCCAAAATATTTGTTCTGCTTTATTCCAAAACATCACTATAACCTACAGTATTTAACATAATAATGACCATTAGCTGCTCAATAACAGTTTCGCAGTTATCCAAGTATACAGGCCTACCTGCAACTCGCTGAGGATCACTCCGCTTCACATCCGAAAGAAACCCTTGCAAACTGCTAGCTCTAGAGTATATCGATATACTATCACCATTCAATATAATTTTCGCCATAGCCACTGACGCAAGATGCCGTACCGGTCGCCGAGCGCCAAGAGTGACCAGAGAATACAAAGCATCTTCGCATTTTCTTTGCCACACTAATATTGAATCCTGATATACATGATCGTTGAGAACCCATCAAACAAAATGCCAGAAAATATATACACAAATAATTGCATAAAGGTTCTTGAATGTAATACTCCTAGTTAGAAGAAATCCATTCTCAGTCTTCTACGGAATCATTTTCAAACTTAATATTATCTTAGAAATGAAAGTTGCATAACGAATGCAGCCACATGTTATTTCGAAAAACCATAAATCCTGCAAGTCACGCTAAGAACAACGGCAATGGCCTATTAAGAAGTCTAATAGTTGATCTAAGATCAGTATTTGCGATAACGCTCATGTAGCAAAATTGACAACGCAGAGCACTATTTGAGATCAAACGAAGTATAAGAACGATCAAATGGAGAAAAAAAACTCCGGTTTTTGAGAAAATGGAGGAAAGACCTTGGGCTCTTCATCGAGGGCGGAAATGAGATCAGAAAGGATCTCGAAACAGAGGAGAGGGTCAGGGCTTTTCTGTGATGCTGACGCCACAATCGACTCCAGCTGGGCGACCAAAACGCCGAATCGCGACAGAGGAACGTTGTCGCTCACATTATTCTTCGCCATTGGAACTGTAGAAGCAGGAGTAACATAGAACGAACCAAGCACAAGCACAGCGGAAGAGAACCCAGAAAGGAGGAATATTTTGTTTCAGATCTATCGGGCTCGGAGAAGAAAAGCCCCGGAATTTGTTTCCGGGTCGGGTAAAGGTTAAATTTTTATTAACCCACCCGATGTTAAACGGGTAAAGATCGACATAACTGGTAAAGCATATATGGGCCGGGTTGGTACTCGTTTGGCAAATTCCAAAAAACTGGGGGTGTATTCAATCTAGTATTAGGTTTTAGATGATTTTAATTGAACTTTTTTTTGGTGAAACCCTGGGAGCTAACTCCCAGATTTATTAAAGAAAAAAAGAGTTTACTCACGGCATTGCCGCGATTTCGAGTCTCCACGATCGTCATCACACAATAAGTCTGGAGGGACTGAATCAAATGAGTGTAAACCTAGTGGTAAAGAAAATGCATAGTTTGCCAATTCATCAGCTAGACGATTGGCCTCCTTATACGCTATTCGAACTTCCCAATCCTTTGATAAGAAGTTATGGCACAAATGTACCAGGAACGACAGCGGATGAGTGTCACAAATCCCTGATTTTGGTTAAACTAATGAAGTTATTATTACTATCAGTTTAGTTAAAATACTAATCATACGAGGGAATAAATTATGCTTTTTTTTTTTCAATTTCAATATATTAACTTGAACCGAGTAAATCATTGTGTAATACATCAGTTATACAGCGGAACATATAAAAAAAATTCGAAGATGTTAAGCTTGACATTCTCCTTTTAGCTAATAGATTTGCAACCTTATTTTCTTCTCTTGAGATCCATCCGAATTTCACCTCACCAAACTTATTTAGCATGTAAATTTGTTGACTTGATCCACAAGCTTCTTGCAATCCCCTTCATAGATGATTTTTTGATGGCCATGAATCCACGCATTTTGCATTGCAATTGTAATAAATTATGTTTTCTAGATAAATTGATAAATTAACTGCGAGTATTAACAGTAAATTTGGCTCCAAAAAACACCCTGCGAATTTTTATTACCAAAACCATTCGCGCCAAAATTGAATCACAAAAGACCTTATTTATAAACTCTAAACCTCCACTCTCACATTCTTTCATCCCAGTTTCATATCTCTATCTCCCTTTCCTCTCCCCCTTTACACTCTTTTCTTCATATCGCATTTTTCTTTCTGTTCAAATGGTTCTAATTGATGACGCGGAGATACTGAAAACCGAACCAGAATCAGCTGTTTTGTGCTCCGATGATGGCAAAACTGTTGCCGACACTCCTAATTTTATCGACGGATCCCCTCTAGTCTTATATAAGACCATGGAATTTCAATTTTCATTTAAAACCAAAACACCATAAAATCCTATAAACTCAACTCAAATCCAATGCTTAAAATATTTAATAGTACTGAAATTATTTAAGTAGCTTAAATCATGATTTCAGTAACATTATATTTTCATAGTTTTTTTAAAAAAAAAAAATTATATTTGAATAACACATGATTTATCATTTTTTTTTTTGGTAGAAGAGAGGAGACAAAAGTCTCCTTAATTTATTAATGAAACAAAACAATCACGTTCGTACAAACCGAGCTCTTGTAGAGCCATTAACATCTTCATTCACCAGAGGCAGAACCTCACTAGGTGGAGAAGGAAAAGAAGAAAAACCAAACGGTAAAGAGAAAGTGTGGTTCCCGAGCCCATCAGCCACACGATTCGCTTCCCTGTAAACATGAGTCACCCGGACTAACCAGTCCCTCGAGAAGAAGCCATAGCACAAACGCACTAGGAAAGACAGGGGATGAGAGTCATTGATCCCTGAGTTAAAAAAGCCCACTATTACCTCCGAATCCACCTCCACCTCCGCATTTCCCAGGCCATATACAAGCCGTAGTATATCCCCCATAGCTCGGCCAGGGGAGCTGAACATATCCCAATATTAAGCGCAAATCCACAGCACCATGCGCCATCCTCGTCTCTGAGAACCCCTCCTGCTGTGGCCCGACCCGGGTTCCCCCTGGAAGCTCCATCAGTGTTCACCTTAAACCATCCACGCATCGGGGGTGTCCATGATATCTGTCTTTCGACTCTAGCTTCCACAGGCGTTCTCACCCGCGCTTTGGTGTGCGCATCCGCTGCTGCTTTGGCAAGATCTCTGACAAATTTCACTCGGTCTCTGCATTTGCCAGTATTTCCAAACACATTCTAGCATCTCCACTTCCATCCCCACCAAGTAGCAATAGCGAAGATAGTAGACCAAGTGTAACCTCCCATCTCCGTATGTAACCCGAGATTCTCATACAACCATCCCAGCAACGGCGTGGTGAAAAACTCCCTTTTCTTCGCTGCTGGTACAATTCGATTCCAAATTCCAGACATCGCCGGGCAGTCTCTGAGTACATGAAGGATCGTTTCTTCTCCACCCTTGCATACCTGGCAAATTCCCGTATCGCTAAGATGCCTCCTCTGTCTCTCCATATTAGTCATAATAACTTGTCGTGCGACTAGCCAAAGGAACACTCTGGTTCTTTCCGAGGCTATCACCTGCCATACTCGAGTAAACAATGCGTTCATACTTGGTCCGGGTGTGATATCTCTAGTGAGAAACGTATAAGCAGACTTCACCGAGAATTCACCGTCCAGAGTATGCCCCCATGACACTCTATCAATTCCGCCTGTGTATTCATCGAGGACCACCGACATGAGTTGCAGTCGCGTTTCCTCCGAGATATATGGGTCTATTTCGTTTTGTCTCCAGCCGCTTCCGGACTGCCATATGTCTCTGGGTTTCACCTCTACCAGCCTTGACGGTATCTCATCCACTGCTACCTCCAGTAACGTAGTTGGCAACAACCATCTATCGGTCCAGAAACTGATGGACTTTCCATCTCCAATCACCCAGCTCAGCCCCGGTATCACCACTTCTCTCATTCCCTTCAGGACACTTCGCCATGTGGATGACCAATTCCCTGCAGTTTTCCACCAAGACGCATCTCTGATGTCTTTAACTCTATATTTGCTCCGCAATACTTTTGCCCAAAGTGAGGTTTCATCCTTCAGTAAACGCCAACTCAACTTTGCTATGAGGGCCTTATTCATCTCATGCGACTTACGAATCCCCAAGCCTCCTTCCCCTTTAGGTCGACACACCTTGTTCCAGGAGAGTAGATGTTGTTTCCTTCGTTCTGTAGTATCTCCCCACACAAAGCTTCTCGAGGTTTTATCAAGTCTGGCAACCGTTGATTGTGGTAACACCATTGTACTCATTGTATGCACTGAGATTAATGATGATACTGATCTTGTCAGTGTGATTCGTCCAACGAAACTTAACATATGTCCCTTCCAGCCGGCTAAACGTGATGAAACTTTCTCCAGCACCTCTCCAAAGGTGTCTTTGTTGATTCTCTTCTGCAATACATGCATTCCCAGATATTTGCCTAAGTCTCGAGTTGCTCCGATGCCACTCTCTTCGCTGATTAGTTTCCCCATGTCGCGGCTTACATTCTCGGAGAAATAGATCTTCGATTTCTCAAGATTTACTTTTTGTCCCGAAGCGACGCAAAACTGCTCCAGAATCCGTCTTATCACTCGTACTTGTGCTACTGAAGCCTCCACAAAGAGGATCAGGTCGTCAGTGAAGCACACATGTGAGAGCTGAGGTCCCCCCTGTGACAGTTTAATCGGCCTCCACTTCTTTTCGGCAATAGCAATCTCGATCAGATGACACAGCCGTTCCATGCATAGGACAAATAGATATGGGGACAAGGGATCCCCTTGTCTTAATCCTCTCTTCGGCTTCCTTAGCTCCCTTAGGTCTCTACAACTCCTTTAGCTTCCGAGTCAAGACTGGTAGTGCAATGTTTCGCCCTAAAACCTTCACGATCATACACCTCTTCCACATACCATTCATCGCCTCTATGACCTCCTCATCAATTGTTATCACTGGTTCTCCATCCTCCCCCTCCGGGAACTCCACATTCAACCGTGCCGCAACAAACGATTCATCTAACAAACTCTCCGGCATAAGCATACCCCCTGCGTTCGTTTCCCTTACTTTCATAGCCCACGAGGTCCGGGGATCGGGCGGTTTCTCTGGCGGCTTCGTCCTCTCTCTGATGTCAGTCATCACCGCATCTTGGTTCACCTCCAAAACCTTAGTTTCGCCTTGGCTCTCCATAAAAAAAAACTCGAATGGTGCACATGATTTATCATTTTAATATAAATCACTTAAAATTTCGTTTTGAATACGCCCTTTTAGTATTTTTCGTCAAGAAATTGCAATAATTTCTTTGGACAAAATTGCAACACTAAATATATTTTTTTAATTAAAAAATCCACCTTTTTTCTATTCAACCTTCAGAGGCTCAGACAGCCGGACTGAAAAATATTGACGTCGGTTAAAAAGAAAAAGAAAAAGAAAAAGAAAGACCTTCGCCGCTGTTTGCTGGTCGTCGTCGCTCTGCTCCGCCGTATATATCTCAAATTCGGTCATCCCGTCGATCAAATAATCCCAGTAAGCTTCTTATACCATCCTCTTACTATTGCTTCTACACTCCGTATCGATCTCCTTACTGTCCCCATTCTATCGTAGAATTCTCAAACCTATATTATTCAGGATTTCATCGAAATTAGTCGCGATCTAATCGCTTCTTCGAGTTGATTGGTAACGCAGAAACCCTAATTTCCAGTGCCCTGCGCAGTCGCACAGTTAACAATCCGTCCTGAATTTATTTTCCGAAGCTTGATTTGATTGATTTCACTTGCTTTTTTTTTTTTTTTTTGTTCAAAATTTCACTTGCTTTACATTGGTTTTCAGATTATGAATGTGCTTAACTTTCTCTTTTTTCGTATGTCTTCTCAGTTGATAAGTAGAAGCCTTTGTGATGGGAAGCAAAGGAAGAATGCCTCCTCCGTCTCATATGAGGCGTCCTCTTCCAGTCTCCGGCATCGCTCACCATCCCGATGCGGCGGCCGCTTACGGTTCCGGTATGCCGCCTTCCGCGTATCCTTCCTTCAGCATGTTACCTCCACCGGAAGTCATGGAGCAGAAACTCGCGTCGCAACACGGGGAAATGCAGAGGCTCGCGATCGAGAACCAGAGACTCGCCGCAACACACGGCAGCCTAAGGCAAGAGCTAGCGTCGGCACAGCACGAGCTGCAGATGCTGCACGCGCAGATAGGGTCGATGAAGTCCGAGAGAGAGCAGAGGATGAGCGGTCTCGCTGATAAAGTCGCGAAGATGGAGACTGAGCTTCGTAAGTCCGATGCTGTGAAGCTTGAGATGCAGGAGGCGCGTGGGGAGGCGCGTAACTTGGTTGTGGCGAGGGAGGAGCTGATGTCGAAAGTTCATCAGCTGACTCTGGAGATTCAGAAGTCTCGCTCCGATGTGCAGCAAGTACCGGCTTTATTGTCAGAGCTTGATAACCTAAGACAGGAATATCAGCAGTGCAGGTATATAATATATGGTTTGGAAAGTGGAAATTTTGAAAATCTTGTGAAGGTCTTGATGAGTTTTGTTGTTATCTGAATTCTGCAGAGCAACGTATGACTATGAGAAGAAATTTTACAATGACCATATAGAGTCGCTGCAGGCGATGGAGAAGAACTATATGACTATGGCTAGGGAAGTGCAGAAACTTCAAGCACATCTGATGAACAGTGCAAATCCGGACAGAAGAGCTGGTACTCAATTATATTCATTTTGCTTCGTTCTTCAAGGAACTGTGTTGGTAATTTGATAGTTGTATGATCATCTGTCAATGAAATATGAAGGTGGGCCTTATGGTGGCAACATGAATGCTGAAAATGACGCTTCTATGCATCAGAGTGGACACGGTGTCTATCATGATAATGCTTTTGCTCCCCAGGTTCGTCAGTTTCTCTATGTACCATAAAGCCACAAATGTTCATTCACTCTCTTTAGTAGTTCATTGTTATTTCTCTAACTTCATTGTTAGTAGAAGAATGGGCTCTAGAGTTGTTTAAAACTTTCCTTACATTTGACCTGCTTGGAACAAGATTTTAAATGTGGTTTGAGGTTTATGTATGTTGTTACATTTGCAGGGATATATGCCTCCACCAGCTGCTGGTACAGCGACTGGACCAAATCCAGTTGTTGCTGCTACAGCTCAATATTCTTATCCGGGAGGAACTCAACCAGGATACTTCCCGCCGCCAAGACCCGGTTATTACTTCCCAAGAGGGCCTCCTCCTCCTGCTCCTGGCTCGTATGACCCAACGTGGTTAGCCTCAGGACCACACGGCGGTCCATTCCCGCCTGGACCACCCAACAATGCGCCTTACGGCTCTGCTGCAGCAACTGGTCCACGAGGAAACCCTGGTCGAAGATGAGGCCAACTAAACCGAGTACATAATAATTTAGCACCAGCTACTTTCGTTTTAACTGCGGATTTGTTGCCGGTTTGGAGCGGTTAAGAGATGCTGGTACAGTGGTGAACGATGATTTATACTGTTTATCTGATTTTGGATTTTGTATTGATACAGTTTTAACAAGTTTTGGCCACGTTTTAGTTGTGATAGATGTGAACAAAAAACAAACAAACAAAAAATGAGAAATTGCTTATGAAAATTGTATTTTTATGAGAGTTGAGTTGAGTTTTGTTTCTGGTGATTGTCTTGTGAAACTGAGTCTTGAGTTTTCAACGCTCTCTTGCTCTTGATTACAACATTCTTCTATTTTTTTGTTTCTTGCATTCTCGAGTCTCAGCTTGTAGCAGATGCTAGACCGTATTGAGCCGGAGGTATCTGCGCAGGTTTCTTGTATATCATATGATGGACCGAGTTTAGTTCCACTAGAGGCATTCTTACTTGTGACCACAGGTTTTGTTAAAGTTATCGTCTCTTGACTAAAACCTTCGTAAATTAGCTCCTAAACAAAAATCCGGATATGGTCATATGATTCAACAACTATGATATATATCTTGCAGGTTTTCAGAAAGAAGAGCACAACATGTCCATTGTGCAAGTCCTGTTTCATAACCATCAAAAGGATTGAAGTGCTTCGTCACTTCTCCCAAGCTATATGCTTCCTAGCCTCTACAGACATGTGTTCTCCGAGGCGTTTTACGGCATAACTGTGGGAAGAGAATTGGTATAACTAAGGGCAGTGATTAGTCGAGCCCTGCATTCCCATTTTAGCCAGACTGTGGAGGCAATTGTTAACAAGGTTTGATGAATTTTGCAAACCAATCTTGTTCTATATCTCACTCGTTGAGTTTTTGTGATTTATAAAAGAAAATGTGAATGCAGAATGTACCTAGATTCAGCTAGGTACTGATCTGGAAGTTTCCTCATGGCGGAATGTAAATAACAACAAACAAATAGTCTCTTGAAAGCCCTCTCTTATGATTTTATAATTTTGACAAACAGAGGCAACATAAACAAAAGGGAACCAACGCCCTCAAAATCAAACGATAATCGTCTTAAATTTCTCCTATTGAATCTCTGATAATCAAGAATCAAGAAAAATTCTAGTCTGAATTTCCTTTTGCTCCCCTATCTTCTCTCTCTCTCCTTGAATTAAACCATAACACCTAGAGATTTCAAAATATAAACACTCTCAGCAATCTCAACCCCATCACACCACTCAACTTTACCCCAAATCTCCCTTTGTTGGTTTCTTTGCAGCGAAATCTCCGCAAAATATGTCACTCCAACGAGGTTTCCTTGACGATTGAACAAGAAAAGTTTCCCACTGTAACTCACAGTCTTCCACCACCCATAAACTTTCTTCTTAGCCAACAATTCCTCAACACCACCATTCACCACTCCCCAACACTTCTTCTCTGAGTCATACGCTCTTAACTTGTTCTCCACGTTATCGTAATAATACAAAACATTATCAACCACACAAGCATCAACCCACTCTTTCGCATTCACCATCTCGTCCGTTTCCCATTTACTTCCCTTTGGCTCGTAAACAATGCTATTCTTCTTACGATCCCTAAAGTAAATCTTACCAGCCATCACCACACATTCACACGCACGGACGTCAACCTCAGTGTCCATCTTTATCGTCTCAGGCTCCCATGTTTGTGTTTCTGTATTGAACACAACCATCACCTTCTTGTATATGAAATCCCAATAATACCCAATCACGTAGATTCTCCCGTCAGTGATGTCAGCGACCGTAATCGTAACCTTTATGATCATGGGCACAGGTACTGGTAGGCGTTGCGCTGTGTGAGATATACAGTCGATGATTAACCCACTTGGGGATGTCGTCACAGTGTTGAACACATATATCTTCGAGCCCATCGCGACGTAGCTACCAAATTGAGGCATAGAGTGTAGTGAAGGGATGAGGAACAAGCCTTGATTTCCGTTGGCTTCCCGGCTGAGAATATATAACTGGCCATCATAACAGCCCCTCCTGTTACTGAGGATAACGTAGAGAGAGTGTTCAGTGCAGCCTAACAAGGATCGTCTCGCGTATATCTCACTCGCCGCAACAAGAGACCGAAAATGTTTTGAAACGAGGGAGAGTGTTGGATAGTTGCATCTTGGTACACGCGCTAAGATGTCAAGGATTACGTCTTCGGGAAGTGATGTCATCACACACGGCGGTGGTTCCGAGGATTGCTCTTTCTCTTCCATAATTTTGGAAGACATGTGTATAGACCGTCTTAGGGCGCAAAACCCTAACTAAAAATCATATATATATATAATGTAAGCACAAGTTACTCCTGCAATCAAATAGCGACATGTGGCAAGTCACCCAAAATCAAAATCAGATTCTAAAACCATTTATTCTGTCTCTTTATTTTTTACTAGGTATTAGCGCGGGTTTCGTTTTTATGTTTTTATTTCTTTTAATTATGAATTTCTAATTTTCAATTTTTTAAAACGTTCATTGATAAAAAAATCTTTACAATTTTTATTTTTAATATTTTATTTTATAATTATAGTTTCTTATTATTTAATTTCTTTATATTTTTAAATTTACCAAATCAATTTAACTCTTGTATAGTTGGTCACAATAATAAAAGGAATTGTATTGTGATAATTTCTTATTAAAAACATATTACAAACTCTCTCACATTTTCTCGTAAGGCATAAAGACCCGATCATTGGAGAAGTTACATTAATCCCTAAAGTTTGTTGTCCTATTGTTTCAATTGAGTATATATAGCCGAATCTCAAATTTTCGGTTCAAAAGTTTGGCCGGTTTTGTCACGTTTTGGGTTTAGTCATCATTCTGAAATTATAAATTCATTACCTTCGGCTTCCAGATGCAAAGATGAAGATTCAAAAATGCGACTCTTTTGCCATTATTTTTCAAAAACCTTAAATTAAATCTCATTTGTAAACCAGTTTCGTCGAAATTCTATATCTCTATATCCATATTATCACCCTACCTCTCCTCTGCTTTAATCATATATATCCAGAAATCTTAAAATTTGGATTATATTTAATCCCTAAAATCCACCAGATTCGAACTAAAGATCAATAAAAATCGCAAAAAAATATCCTAAATTATTTATTTAGAATTTTTTAAAGTATAATGGTGAAAATTATGATGTATTTACAAATTTATTTAACGTTTTATGTCTATTATTCAAAGATTGATTTTTATTTTCGAAAGTTTGACTTTTTAATTATAATTTTGCGCAGTTAACTCATACTTCAGGAATTAAAGTGAGCAAATGATAGTTGAGGAATACAAATTCTCATTGCAAATAGTGGGGGAATAAAATGAGCAATTTTCCGTTTAGTCATCCATAATTGTTGGTTTGTTGAATTTTGTTGCCATTAAGTAATACTCCCTCTGTCCCATAATATAAGCTATTTTAGCTTATAAATTTTGTCCCACCATATAAGCAGTTTTGACATTTCAATGCAATTTTACTTTATACAAAACTGTGTGACCACTTATATTTTGCAGTTGTTTTTGTGATTGGTTGGATTATATTTAAACTATATATTAAATGATACTTTTTTAAAGCAGAACAGTTTTCTTAATTCTTGTGTTTAAGCTAAAACAGCTTATAATATGGGACAGAGAGAGTATTAGTTTCTTTAGATAAAGACCTAAAGGATAAGTATTAGACCTAGTCGATTTATTATAACTCGGTTAGATCTTGTTTTGTCATGTTTTTGAACTCAGCTAGTGAACTTTCATGCTGCTCCATTTTCCGGTTATTCAATAGCTTTCCCAAAACTGTAAGTAGTTGCAGTTTTTATTTTCAACGTATTTTCAAGACAATATTATTTCCATTTTAATATATAATATGATGCATATAAATCAACAAATTAATAATATGTTGATGCTTATATACAATATAAATTTTCTTTTGTTTATATTCCTATATATATTCACATATAACTTTTTTTTTAAAACTAATTAGCAACATATTTTGTTCAAAATATTAAAATGAACATGTAACATATTAACAATATATAAATTTAAATGTTAAATATTTTATATTAAGAAAAACGAAATTTGAAAAAATATATATAGAAGTAATTTAAAGATTATATATTTCATAGGAAGTAATTAAAATTAGAATTAAGTATTAAGGAAATATCATAATAACAATTAGAAAGGAAATCTTTTAAGGTTCTTATGTGGACCAATCAAATTGAATTTTTTATTTCCTTTTTCTGTCATTAGAAAAACAAAATCTATTTTTTAAACACTTTAGTATGAAGAAAAATAAAATTAAGTGTTAAGGAAATATCATAGTAATAACTAAAAAAATAAATTCTTTTAAAGTGATTATGTGGACCAATGAAATTCAGTTTCTTTAATCCTAGTTGAACACTTTTAGAGACTTATAGAATCAACTTTTATTTTAGATCATCGTATTCCTGATAGTAAAATGAATAAAATCATTGTATTCATAATGGTAAAAGGAATCACTATGCAATAAGGAAATTAGAGAAGTGGTAATTACAAAATTAGAATTATCCTAATCCTAATCTTTCTCAAACAATAATTTGTTGGATATTAAAAAAAATGTAAATTTGCTAATAAGAATAAAAAGGAAAATAGGAAATTAATTATTCAAAAAAAAAATAATGACATGGACCAATCAAATTCAATTTTAGAATCCTAGGTGGACACTCTCTAATGCATATAGGGTCAACTTTTATTAGTAATAGATTTTTCCTTCTAAATAGGATTTTTATTACTTAAGATTGAGACAGTCCGGAGTACAAAGATGGAGTTACCCACACAACCATTTGTGTCTTTATGTCTGCTTTAACTGGAAACTACATTTCTAAGCAAATATGATACTTGAATCAAGCTTATACACTAGCCAAATCAAGCTTCTAGACCTCTTCGTATCTGGAACCTCCTCCCATAGCTCGTATATTATGGACTGTTTGTCCTACATTGAACTAGACAGAGAAGAGAAAATGGAACATCCCCATGTCTTCTATCATTCATTTTCCGCTTGATTATCATTCTTTGGATCATGCCAATATATACGCATGCATCTCAAAACATGATCTAATAAGTGAAACTAATTTTTATAATTGAAAAATATTTTAGGGATTGATAATTGATCATTCTTCTTAGTCTAGTTTGGTTTCACTACCCTCATGAAAATTAGTACTTCAATATTATGCTTTGTTTGCAGTGATTAATAGAGCCAATTTTTAACATTGATAAGAAATCAAATACATTTTTGTTGACATTCGATGCATTGCTCTTAACTATAGTTTTGTGACATTATGAGGATTTGAACAATGATTTGGTGGAAAAAGACTTTTCTCTTTCGTCAAGCGTAGACACTCGCTTGCATTTTCTGGTAAGACGAAGCCATGCCCCTACGCCCCTACCTATTGTGCAAGACTGCAAGAAAACAAGAGAAACTACAAATGATTAAATACATGTTGAGATCGCAATTGCTCAAAGTCCACTGAACTGAATCCTAAGGACAGGGTAAAACAAATTTCTGGCTTGATGAGGGCCAACCTGCAGGGACTAAAACAGCATATCCATGCTTCTGAGCATAGGTCCATGGTTTAATGTTCTAGGTACAATACATCAGATTGATATTACCAAACATTGCAAAGATACCATGGAAGAAGGAAAGTGTGGTTGGTTATTTCAAAAGAAAAAATCCAGTATATAGAAAATGAATTTCATCGGTCAGAAAAATGAGGTTGCCCAATATAGCTGGCAGTGTCACAAATCGGAGCTTTATCCGACAACTTCATTGATTTTTCTGAGCCGAGTAAATTTATTTTCTATATACTGAAATTATTTTCAAAATAGCCAACCACATTTTCCTCAATTAAATGACTTAGATACATGCCGTTCAATTCGGTTCAGTTTCAGAACTTGTGGCCAATCCATGTAGTTGTGGCCAATCCATGCAGCCATAATCTTGATCCGTCACTTCTCCCAAGCCATATGCTTCCTAGCCTCTACAGACATGTGTTCTCCGAGGCGTTTTACGGGATAACTGTGAAGAGAATTCGTATAACTAAGGGCAGTGATAAGTCGAGCCCTGCATTCACATTTCAGCCACAGACTGTAGAGGCAAGGTTTGATGAATTTTGCAAACCAATCTTGTTTCTATTATCTCTCTTGTTGAGTTTTGTGATTTATAAAAGAAAATGTGAATGCTAAGTATTGATGTGGAAGTTTCCTCATGGCGGAATGTAAATACCAACAAACAAACTCTTGTACAAAATAGTCTCGTGAAAGCTCTCTCTGATAATTCATTCGTCGGCTTTGGATTTCTTTCTTAATGATATTTTGGTTTGTACGTTGATTAGACAATATGAGTTGACAAGTAGCATTTCTTCAAACAGATTGAGAAGCAACATAAACAAAAGGGAGCTAAAACCCTCAAAATCATTGGAACAGAATAAAACGAGAAATTTCAAATAAAATATATTGAATTATAGAGATGGCAACTTAAAAATTTATATAATCGTCTTAATTTCTCTCTCACTCTCTCTCTGCATCAAACCATGACAGCTAGAGTTTTCAGAATATAAATTCTCTCACCAATCACAACCTCATCACACCACTCAACTTTACCCCAAACTTCCCTTTGTTGGTTTCTTTCCAAGGAAATCTCCGCAAAATAAGTCAATCCAACGTGTTTTACTTGAGAATGTAACAAAACAAGTTTCCCACCGTAACTCGCAGTCTTCCACCACCCAAAACCTCTCCTCATAGCCAACAATTCCTCAACACCATTCACCACTCCCCAACACTTCTTCTCTGAATCATACGATCTTATGAATCTTGTCCTTATCGTCATCGTGATAGTACAAAACATCACCAATCACACAAGCATCCTCACACTCATTAGCATTCACCATCTCGCCTGTTTCCCATTTACTTTCATTTGGCTCGTAAACAATTATATTCTCATAAGCAAAGCTACTCTCACGATCCCTAAAGTACATCATATCAGCCATCACCACACATTCACACGCCCGCATGTTAACCTCAGTGTCCATCTTTATCGTCTCAGGCTCCCATGTTTGTGCTCCAAGTAGATATAATTGCTATTTCCCTCCAATAACTTGCTGGTTTAGTTATTAAAACATAACTAAAAGCATCCAATAACTTTTCACCCTTATGATGTACATAAACAGATCATTTATGTAGAGAACAATGCGAGTCCGTGATCACACATTGAATATCATAAGGAATGGAAAAACTACTACAAAAGATCACCCTCATCAAACACCAATTGACTATGGTCTCACTGAAATTTAGTATACTTGAGCTAAGTGGCTACGGAAATGTTTCATCGAGCAATGTGAGTCAACCACTCTGTCACAAACTCACAAACGTGTATGTGATCACTCATTTCACCAACAAAAGAAACATTTATTATTTCTTCGAACCTATTTCTAGAATAACAGAGCATCAAAGATAAATCACTAATGTTTTTTCTCCTTATTGGGATAACGTTGTATCTATTAGGATTAGTATAAACTCCTGGTTTGTAGGAGTTTAGATTCTATCGTGAATAGCTAATCTCTTGTATAAATACACTTTAGTTGTCAATGAATAAAGCAAGTTAGTTCGGTACCAAACTCTACATGGTATCAGAGCAGAAGATCTCATACCTAAAAATTTCGTTTGATATTTGTCCTTGTTCAGTATGGCCGGAGATGATGATGTTTCTCCGTCCAGGTTCCAGTGGAGCCCTCGCTGTCCCTTCTTCAGGTGGAGAAGTAGACTATCTCGCCGTACACGTTGGCGGCTTCCGATAACCCGGTGCCTTGATACTCCGTTCAGTTGAATGGGAGAATTACAACGAATGGGCATCAGAGTTGTACAATGCTTTGCAGGCTAAACGCAAAACCGGTTTCATTCAAGGTGTTCTTCCGAACCGGCGAGCGATAGCCGATTTGGAGAATTGGTTGACTGCGAATTCCATGCTAGTTGGATGGATTCGTTCGTCGATCGAACCAAAGGTCCGTTCTACCGTATCGTACATCTCCGACGCTTACCTCCTGTGGACTGAGCTGAAGGAGAGGTTTTCCGTGGGCAACAAGGTTCGTGTCCATCAGATTAAAGCTCAACTCGCTTCGTGCAGGCAAGAGGGGCAAACCGTTCTTGAGTATTATGGACGGCTTTCTACGTTGTGGGAAGATTACAATCGTATCAACCAGTGATTTCGTGCTCCTGTGGAGCTGCGTCAGTGTTCGCAAAAGAAAAAGAAGAAGAACGTATCCATCAGTTTGTGATGGGTTTAGACGATGCTAGATTTGGTGGTCTCTGCACAGGGATCATTGCGGCGGATCCGTTGCCAAGTATTGGTGAAATCTACGCTAAGGTTGTCCGTGAAGAACAGCGTCTGTCTTCCGCTCGTCTCGGAACAGCAGCATGAGGCTTTAGGGTTTTCTACACGTCGAGAGGAAGCTCCATCCTCTGTTCGCCGTGATCAGAATCAGTCACCTGATTCTCGTCTTGAGTTGTCATCTTCTTCCATTCGTAACCGGAGTGCTTTGTGTAGTCATTGTGGCCGTACCGGACATGAGAAGAAAGATTGTTGGCAGATCGTTGGTTTTCCAGATTGGTGGAATGAACGGAACACCAATAGTTCTGGATGTGGTGGTCGTGGTGGAAGAGGTGGAAGAGGAGCTGGTATCAACAACGGTGGACGAGGTTGCGGTCAGGCGAATGCAGCTCACGCCACGAGCTCTAACGCTTCATCGTTTCCCGAGTTCACTCCGGATCAGTGGAAAGCCCTTTCCAAACTGATTCAAGACAAGACAGGGGAGTCCAATTCTGACAAACTGTCTGGTAAGAAAGGTTAAGGTGATGTTATTCTTGATACAGGAGCTTCTCACCACATGACGGGAAATCTCTCTTTGTTACACAACCTTGAGTCGATTCTCCCTTGTTCTATTGGGTTTGCAGACGGCGGCAAAACAGTCTCTGTTCGCAAAGGAACTCTTACTCTGTCTTCCACGCTTACATTACCTAATGTTTTGTTCGTGCAAGATCTTAATTGCACATTGATTTCTGTATCCAAGTTACTCAAGCAAACCGGTGGTGTTGCTATGTTTACTGATACCCTTTGCGTGTTGCAGGACCGTTTTTCGAGGACTCTGATTGGAGCCGGTGAGGAACGTGATGGGGTTAACTATTTCAAGGATGTCATGGCTGCAAGGATTCATAGAGCAGTTGCGGATTCCGATTCTTCTTTGTGGCATCAGCGGCTGGGACATCCGTCGTTTTCTGTGCTTTCGTCTTTACCATTGTTTTCTGGTGTTTCGAAATCTGCTTGCTCGGGTCCGTGTGACGTTTGTTTTCGAGCTAAGCAGACTAGAGAGGTGTTTTCAGAGAGTTTTAATAAAACAAAGGAATGTTTTTCCCTTATTCATTGTGATGTATGGGGTCCATACCGTGTCCCGTCTTCTACTAGTGCTGTTTACTTTTTAACCATTGTTGACGATTACTCTAGAGCCGTTTGGACATTTTTGCTTCTTGAGAAGTCTGAAGTCAGTAAAGTATTGAAGAATTTCTTTGCTTATGCCGAGAAACAATTTGGCAAAACTGTAAAAGTGGTGAGGAGCGACAATGGAACAGAATTTATGTGTCTCTCTTCCTACTTTCGCGAACAAGGTATTGTACACCAAACGTCGTGCGTTGCAACACCTCAGCAGAATGGTCCGAGTGGAACGTAAGAACAGGCATATTTTGAATGTGGCGCCCGCTCTTCTTTTCCAAGGAAATTTACCTATCAAGTTTTGGGGAGAGGCTGTGCTTACTGCTGCTTACCTCATCAATCGTACACCTTCTGCTATCCATCTTGGGTGTTCCCCTTATGAGATGTTACATGGTCATAAGTCGTCTTATGATCAGTTGCGAGTGTTCGGAAGTGAATGTTATACGCATAGAGCTTCCAGAGATAAAGACAAGTTTGGTCAGCGCAGTTGTCGTTGTGTGTTTCTCGGTTATCTGTTTGGAAAAAAGGGGTGGAAAGTGTTTGATATAGAGCGCGAAGAGTTCATTGTTTCTCGCGATGTAGTCTTTAAGGAATCTGTCTTTCCTTACTCTGTCGTGTCTCCTTCTCTGCCTCAGTTTTCTCCTTCAGATTGTTTGGATGATGATTGGATCATTTCACCGGTGCCTTTTGTAGTAAGGGGGAGTGATTCAACGTTGGGAGAAAACAGAGAACCAAATGCTCTGCCTGTGATAGTGCCTACACAAGAACCTGAGTCAGTCAATCCACAAGAACCTGAGACAGAAAAACCACAAGAACCTCTCTCAGTAACTGTCACAGACTTAGAACAAGGTTCTCGTGATATGCAAGGCTCTGTTTCGTCTCAACCTGTTGTTTCTAATGCATCGTTGGGACGAGGTCTGCATCAGCGTTCTGCATCAGTCAAGCTTCGCGATTACGTTACGTACAATGTGGTCTGCAGTCAAGACCCCCATCACGCTCCTCCCGATCCCTCCTCTCATTCCTCGACGGTCCAAGGTACATCCCTCTATTCATTGTCTCATTATATATCCGACGACCGTTTTTCTCCAGGCCAGCGAGCTTTCTTTGCTGCCATCACCGCTGGAGATGAACCTAAACATTTCAAGGATGCTGTTGCCATCAAAGTTTGGAATGACGCAATGGGGATAGAGGTTGATGCGCTGGAGCAAAAACGTACTTGGGATATCTATGATCTCCCGCCTGGAAAAGAAGCTCTTGGTTGTCTTTGGGTTTACAAAACTAAGTACAAGTCGGATGGTACGGTTGAAAGATACAAGGTGAGGATTTTGATGAGACCTTTGCGCCGGTTGTGAAGATGAACACGGTTCGCTCAGTTCTCAAGCTAGTTGCTGCTAAACAATGGGAGGTTTATCAAATGGACGTCAACAACGCTTTTCTTCATGGCGATCTTGAAGAAGAAGTGTACATGAAGCTTCCGCCTGGTTTTCGTCACTCTCATCTTGGAAAGGTTTGCCGTTTGCGTAAGTCTCTGTATGGGCTCAAACAGGCTCCACGTTGTTGGTTTAAGAAGCTCTCTGACGCTTTGCTTCGTTTTGGCTTTGAGCAGTCTTACGATGACTATTCTCTGTTTTCGTATTCTTGCAAGAACATTGAGCTTCGGATGTTGGTTTATGTTGATGATCTCATTATCTGTGGTAATGATGGTTATATGCTCCAAAAATTCAAGGATTATTTGAGTAAGTGCTTCTCCATGAAGGATTTGGGGAAACTGAAATATTTTTTGGGAATCGAGGTCAGTCGAGGACCGGATGGGATCTTTCTCTCACAACGCAAATACGTTTTGGACATTGTCGCTGAAACCGGTAACCTTGGATCCAGGCCGGCTGAGACTCCTCTTGAGCAACATCAACAGCTTTCTACTGTCGTGAGTCCTCTGTTAGATGATCCTAAGAAGTATCGACGGTTAATGGGGCGTCTCATTTACCTTCTTAACACTCGTCCTGAGCTTAGTTACTCCGTGCATTTGTTGTCACAGTTTATGAAGGAGCCGACAGAAGCTCATTGGCAAGCTGCTTTACGTGTGGTTCGCTATTTAAAAGGATCTCCTGGTCAGGGAATTTTTCTCTCCTCAGACCCGGATCTCTCGCTTACAGTGTACTGTGACGCCGACTACAATTCATGTCCCCTCACACGTCGTTCTTTGAGTGCGTTTGTAGTTTTGCTTGGTGGCTCTCATGTTGCTTGGAAAACAAAGAAACAGGGCACCATGTCTTTCTCTTCCGCTGAAGCAGAGTATCGTGCCATGGCCTATACTCTCCGCAAAATAAAATGGTTTCGACGGGTTTTACAAGGCCTCGGCATTGATCAGTCTAAACCAACACGTCTGTTCTGTGATAATAAAGCTGCCATTCATATAGCTTCGAATCCAGTCTTCCATGAGCGTACCAAGCATATTGAGTCCGATTGTCATGATGTTCGTGATGCAGTTCAGGAAGGTGTCATTGTCACAGATCATGTTAGAACGGGGGAGCAGTTTGCAGACATTCTCACAAAGGCGTTAGGTCGTGCACCATTTCAGTACTTGTTGTCCAAGTTGGGCGTTCAAAATCTCCACGCTCCAACTTGAGGGGGAGTATTGGAGATAACGTTGTATCTATTAGGATTAGGATAAACTCCTGGTTTGTAGGAGTTTAGAGTCTATCGTGAATAGCTAATCTCTTGTATAAATACATTTTAGTTGTCAATGAATAAAGCAAGTTAGTTCGGTATCAAACTCTATACTCCTACCTACACGTTTTAAAAAACATGATACGTACCAACTCTTCAAACTTACCGGAAAAACTGCTGTCGCCGATAGCTTTGACTCAGACTTATGTTCGTTCTTTTCTTCTCCGACCTATTTCAAAGATAATACAGCATTAAAGATACAACAGTAATGATTATTCATTTTTTTAAAAGACGATTCTTTACCAAAATAATATCGTGAAACTTACCGAAAAAATCGCTGCTGGTGATAGCTCTGACTCGACTTACATTCATTATTTTTCCTCCGACCCATTTCTAACATAACATAGCATTCAAGCGACACATCACCAATGTTTATTCTCCTGCCGATTCAAGAAGAATCAACGATTCTTGACCATAATAAAGAATGTGAAACTTACTGCAACAACCGTCGCTGCTGATAGCTACTCGCCTTGCATTCTTTCTTTTCTTTCTCTGTCCTATTTCTAAAAACATTGCTCTATGTATGCACAGGCACAACCCTAGTTTATTTAAAAAAACCGCACAATTTAATACCACTAGACTTTTATCGTTTATAGAATTTCGGATAAACTAAATTAAATAGTTGTTCTACCGGTGAATCGATTACTAAACAAAATAATTATTAATTTTTCATCTAGAACCGAACTGAACCGGACTAACCGAGTTGGATAAGTGCATACAACAACACGAATAAAGGTTAAACCGCTATGGCATGTGATGTGAGCCAGTCATACAACAACAACAAACATGGTTTCGAAAATTGTATGAATTTCAAGAAGAGGATCGGATGATTGTGAAAAGAAGAAAATAGACATGATTTATCAAGAGAATCCGAACAAAATAAACCAAATGCTTGCTCTATTCGATAACATAACCAGAAGTGGCTTTATCAATTTATATTCATGCGTTTGGCTTTGTTCCTGCAGTGTCTACTTCTCTGGATTTTCTTTTTGGAAAACGTCATTATGGAATCCTTATTTTGGCGTTTGAAATCCATTCAGAAAATTCCATAAACTGTCTTCAGAAGCAAACTGCAAAAATCGGCAAAAGATGTGAGTTTCAAGTTTCTCAAAGATTTTTCTAAATATAGAAGGATTTTTCTTAAGTTCTCACGTCAAAGTGATCAGGGAGAGTCCCTAGATCTGCCATTTCAAAATCTGAAACTAAAAAGTGTCCAGACCCCATCTCGAAATTCCCATAATTAGGCTCCTCTTCTACAAGGGAAGACGAAACTTTAACTTTCTTGCACCCCAAGTTATCTTCAGTTACATTGAAATTATCTGCTACTTGAACTCTTTTCTCTGATGTTGAACCAAACGAAGCTTCTGGAGTGTTTTCTAGCCCCTGATTTACCAGAAAACGTAAACTATTTATCATGGACGATTAACATCAAGAATACATGAAGAGAAATGAACAAACCTGAACAGATGAATCAAGAACCATCGTAGCATCACCACCACAAGCTGTTTCATCCTCATTAACACAAATCTCAGATCTAGGCTGTCCACAAGTAAACGTTTTCGGCGTTAGGCCAACTCCAACCCCAAAGCACTCACTCTCATCTGTATCTTTCTCCCATTGCTTTGGCTGCTGATAAGTGATCTTAGAAACAACAAAGCTTCCAATCTCGCCTTCGTCTGTTCCCAAGTGGTATTGGTGCAGAACCCAGTTGGATTTCTCAGGTTTTAATCCCTTTCTCCCATTCTTGTAGAGCACCAAGATCTTCTTGCATCCCTTCTGGATTCCATTGATCATCACGGGTTTGGTTTGACCAGTTTTGTGCCAGCGAACCGATTCATCTTTTAGACCAGTTGGTGTGATCTTTCTCCTCTTTCTATTCCCCTTTTGATATGCATGCGTCGTCTTGTTAAAGAAGAAGACACTAATTCCATCCTTATTCACACCTGCAAAAACATTATAATGAGTGATTTTAATCTCTCAATTAACAACTTGAAACGTAAAGATTAACAGAGGATTTTTCTTAATATAATTACCTGGAAGGTTTTGAGGATGAGTATAGTTGATGCCAACATCTCCAGTGACTGAGCATATATAGTCATCGATAAAAGGATGTGGTTTTAAGCCATCAATCCCACACTTGGCTTCCAAATGCCCGATAACTTCCTCATCGGTTGGCTCGAATTTCACACCTTTAGGAAGACCTGGCCATGGAGACTGTGCCTGATAAACCAAAACCCAACTCAGTATTCAAATAAAACATAAACATAAGCTGCTGTTGTTACATGCATGTGTTGAAAATATGTTCTTCACATTGTTGTTGTAGATGCGGTAATAGCAGTTAGGGCAGTTGATGTAAGCTCCACAGTCTTTAGTCTGCAAAGCTGAGCACACAGAGGCATTCTTTACATTCCTAGCAATCCATGGACCATCCACAATCCAAGCACTGCATGTAAAGAGTTTTCATAGTTTTAGTGACAAGAGCAAAGCCATGTAAAAGTTATTAACATCTCTACTTGTTCGAACAAGATCGAAAAACAGGTTCATTGTACTAGATTCAAACATCTCTTGTCGGAAGCAAAATAGAGCTTTTTACAGATTATTAAGCTGAAAACAGAGGAATACAATAATGCCGAAATAGAAGAAGGGTAGGTGAAAATTTGGAAACATAATAGTCCAGCTAAAGAAAAAGTTCAATCTTTTCAAGAGTTTGGAACTAAGATGAGACCTTTCTTGAGCTTAATAATTACAGGAAACAATGGGTATCACAATCGTATAGAGTTACTGAAATCAGCTTAGAGATTTGAGTGAATTTTATATATATCAACAAAATCTGAGCTTTTAACAGATCTTGACATTGGGATTCTAGGGCTTTCAAGCTTACCTCTCCATAACCTACCAAGACAAAGAACAACCGAGAGAGAGAGAGAGTGTTAAACAGAAATATCCTAGGAGATCTTGCAATCTAGAGAGAGAGAGAGAGAAAGATTTATCCTCTAGGCTAAGCAAAATGGATTTGAGAGAGAAAGAGCAGGGATTTGGAGAGAGAGAGAGAGATGTATATACGTGTGTCGATGAGCGGGAATGGACTTTATGAGAGGTTCGTTTACTTCCGAACCTAAGCTTCGAGGAAAGCTTCTTTAGAACACAACTAGCAGACGTCAGGCTCGGAGAAATAACTTAGCTTGACTAGTGTTTGGTTCGGATAACGAACCTGAGATTTGTAAGGTTCTATGAAACTTCGAAGCACTGGAGAGCTTCGGAAGTCGAGCTGGATGGATATTCGTAAATAAGTGGTTTTCGTAGGGCCAGACTATCTTGATCACCAAGCCAAATAGTTACGGTTTAACCTTCAACTTTTTTACCCGTTGTGTTTGTTTTCTACTGATTATAGAAAGAAGTGATTACATGAGAGACATGAAATTTGATTAGTTGAGTGACACATTTAAAACTATATCAGTAAAGAGCAATCGACTTGCTTAAAAGTTAAGACCAAATTTCGGACACTATTTCCAAAACGCGCTTACTGATCAATTTGTATTTTTTTTTTTACCAACAATATAGTCATATCGTAATAGATATAATCCAATCATTACATCTATTTTTCCTATTATAAAACTAATAGGAGTAGATAAATAAAAGGACAGTCATATCATCTTACTCATCAAGATAAGAGTGATTTACATTCAAACACTTTAGATTTTCAAACTTACAAAACATGCACTTATTACTCCTAATCTTAGGTGATTTTGGTATTTGCAGTTACAAAAATACCTTTTCTTTTTTTACTGCCTTATTTTTCCTATTATAAAACTAATAGGAGTAGATAAATAAAGGGACAGTCATATCATCTTACTCATCAAGATAAGAGTGATTTACACTCAAAGGCACTTTAGATTTTCAAACTTACAAAACAGGCACTTATTACTCCTAGTCCTAGGTGACTTTGGTATTTACAGTTACAAAAATACCCTTTCTTTTTTTACTGCCTTATTTTGTTACACACAATTGAAACTTTTCACCTTTTTTAATTTCCTTTCTCTTCTCCTCCATAAAATCAAAGGGCGAGAAACTGAAAACCCTAAAAACACCGACCTTCTTCTCCGCCCCTTCGTCAATACCACCACGTCGAGTGTTTACAGATTTCAATTGCTCCCTCACACGAAAAAGCAGCCCTCTCCTTTTCTCTCTGAATGATTGCTATTCTGTCGTGTCCTCTGCGAAAATTCATGGAAGGTGATTGTAATCTTACACTCTGTTAGCCTTAAGCAGTTGCTCCCTCCGACGAATTAAGCAGTTATGTCCTCCCGTTGATTTCTTGTCTGTCTGAAACAGAGTACATATCTGCTAATGAATTGTACTTGTCCATGTGAAACCGTCCAAGTGAAGCCGTCCATTAGTGAATGATAATTCATGTCCACGGGATGAGATTACATGTGTCTAGCGTTTGAGTGTTAAAATAGTAATTTTATAGAACTTTCGCAAAACATGTGGGTTGTACTTTCTAACTAGTTACCCGCCTAATGTTATGATTTGATGGGAGACAGTACAATATAATATTATGTACTGCAGATGGTAGATATTAATTTATTATATTTATAATTGTCCACACACCCCCATCCAGTCTACACCATGCTTGTAAGATTTGCTATGTGTTTAATTGTTGAAACACGACCATAAATTATCGTCCATCACCATAAGAAGTATCTTTTCGTCACTTTTGAAAAATTAGAGAAACCAAACTATGCTTCGAAAAGTTCAGAAAAGATAGAAATTGAGGCAAAGAATCATGTAAAATCCATTGTTAATATCCACTCACTTATATCCATGCATTGATACATACACATATTACAAGTCATACTCTTATACGCACAATACCATCCATAATTGTGTATCCACAAATAACCATCCACACATAAATACTAAAGATATTCTCAAATACATCTCATTCTTCTCCTCTGAATTCGTCATCTCCGCCTGAATTACACATGAATCGTGAAACCTTCTTAGATTTGCAGATGGAGATTAATATTAGGTTAATAGATTTGCAGATTGTGATTCTTTAACGATTATAAAAAGTTTTCTACAATTTAGAAGTTTTCTGAACATTATTGTGGGAATTTGATTTTAGGTTTTGGTTTTTTCTCATCACCGCCATTCTTCCATAAGCTCCGTATTTTTTTTTATCGAAAAAGACATTATTTATCACCATTCAAACAACAAATTTCATTAAGGGTAAAAAATTGAGTTTTCTAACCCTTTCAACTCCTCGAAAACAACCCAAAGTTCTCTTGGAACATAAAGTGCTTTTATCTGTAATATGTAAGTGGGAAAGTGCCTTCCACTGTAATTTTCTCTCAAGACAAAGTAGAGTAAGATGATGTGACCTTTTATTTATTTTCTGATAAAACATATAAAAAAAAAAATTACATTATATCAGTTCACTTTTTCTTTAAGTAATTGCATTAAATAAATTTAGATAATCTATAAAGTAAGTGATAAAATCTAATAGGTTATCTAAATTTATGTATTGCAGTTATCAAGAAAAAGTGGATTGAAATAAAATGATTTCATTATTTATTTTGATATAAAAAATGTATAAAAATAAATAATAAATAAATAAATGGTCACATCATCTTACTTCAGTACAGAGTCCAAGACAACCTATCAACCTCAACAATTGTGGTATCTACGGTTTAGTCTATTCATAGACCAAACCAGGGGTGTTACAGTCCTATTTTGTCTTAAGTAAGATGATATGGTCATTTATTTATCTACTAATTTTCCCACTAAACTAAAATTCTCTATACTGTAGATTCTCCTTGGAAGTTGAAACCCTACTACATATACTTTATATAAAGAATTTTCTACTCATTAAAAAGATAACATCATTCTCTCTTTCTTGCAACAAAAACTACATATACACGTAGAAATAAGTCTATTTGGTTGTTGGAGTATTTATTTACGTGTGTATACAATACATTGAAGATATCTGCATATACTAAAAGTATATATACTTACTGATGGTGAGTTTTACTTCATTATTGACCCATCCATAATCATGATTCTCAAGGCCCAAAGATGTTGCTAAAAGGTTGAGGCCCAAAAGAGGATCAAAAGAGTGTCCATTCCCATTCTTCTTTGGCTTTGTAAACTTTTCTCTTTTCTTGCTCTTCATTCATTTGCTATATACTGAATTAGGGAGTAGAACTTTTACGCACCACATGTGGAACTCCGAACTATGTAGCTTCTGAGGTACTTAGTGGCCAAGGTTACGATGGTTCGTCAGCTGTTTGGTCTTGCGGTGTTATTCTCTTCGTTATAATGGCTGGATTCTTACCCTTTTCTGAGACGGATTTTCCAGCATTGTATGAGAATAGTAAAAACCAATAATGTTAGATTTTACAAGAATGGCGATGTTAGTGGGAGTGATAAAAATCAAGATGTTGTCATTCAGGAAATTATGGTTAAAATCCCTTTACCCTAAGTTCCGAATGTTGGGAAATTCTCCTTTTGTTGAATGGTTAAACAAAGAGGAAAACCCATTGAATGATAATTCACTCTGTGATGAAAACATCGCCAATAATGATCTTATAGCACAAGAGAAAATATCATTAAAAAGATCAACTCATTCGAGTAGATCTGCTATTTCTAGTACATAAATGCATTTATGATCAAGAAGAATCCAGTAGAATGGGTATTAAAGATCCGGTTTCTTATTGAGAAGCCATGAAAGATGTTGATTCTGATCAATGGATTGATGCCAGTAAAGAAGAGATAAACTTGATAGCTAAGAAAGGAGTCTGGGAGACTGTTCCATTGCTTGAAGGACAAAAAGCGGTTGAGTATAAATGGGTCTTTAAGACCAAACTCGACTGTAATAGCAATGTAGAATGTTATTGAACCAGACTTGCAGCTAAAACATCATATCAGAAAGAAGGCATCAATTATAGTGAGTCTTTTTCGTTTGTGTATAGAAAAGACTTTCTCAGAATTAACTTGACATTAGTATCTCAATATGTTCTGAGTTACATAAAAATTATTTGAAAACTGCCTTTCCTTTTGAAGATATAGGAAACTAAATTTTATATTTGTCGACCTGAAAACTTCATAATCGAAAATTAGGGAGACATGTCTGCAAATGAAAGAGACTTATATATGATCAGAAAAAACCTTCGAGATATTGATATCAAAAGTTTTATGAAACCCTTATGAAATTTGGTTTCAGAAAAAACATGAGAGATCATTGTATGTACCTCGGGATTAGTGGGAATATGTTCATATATAACGTATTGTGTGATGATGATTGGCTAGCAATTATTTTATTTATTAATGAGATTAAGAGTTTCTTTCCAAGAACTTTTAAATTATATATATGAATGAGACATCCAATGTGAAAAGGATATAATTATTCTATGATTGATCACTTGGAATTTTAAAACTATCTCGGAAAGCATATATATATATTATTATAAAAGTTCTTAAGAGTAGACATAATAATGTGTTCTTCTTGTACTAGTAAGCTATAAAATTGAGATACAGAAAGGAAATAAGTGTATGGTCACATACAGAAAATTGATACATCCACAGATGGTTGAGTTTTCTAAACTCATATTTTGTGAATTTATGGTTCTAAATAGAGTTGTCAAAGTAGACATCAGCCCATGGGCGAGTCCATGTCCATATAAATATGGATGGATATGGACAAGCCCACTTTTAATATGGGTATAACTGGGCATATCCAACTTAGCCCATGGACAAATGTGGACGGATACGTGTGGACATGGGCTGTCCAGTGGACGTAAAAATTTAAGTCAAATCGATTTGGGGGCAAAATCGTTTCTCATAATCCGTGTTAGGCTTGGGCTTTCGGGTTTCGAGTCGGGTTCGGGCTGGGTTTTTCGGGTTTTGGATTTTTGAGTTTAGAGATATAGAAACCGTCCGGGTGTTTTAAAGTTTTGGTTCGGGTTTGGTTCATGTTTTTTCGGGTTCGGTTCGGGTTTTTTCTGGGTTTTTGAGTTTTTTTGGTTTTAAAAGTTTTTTCAGGTCAGGTTTGGAATCGGATTCGAGTTTCGGCTAAAAGTTCCAAATCTAATCCGCGCAGAAAAAGACGATTTTCAAAAACAAAATTATATAATAAAAAAAACTGTTTTTTTGTCTATGGACAGCCGCCTACGGACAACCCATTTTTGATGGGCCATAATGGGTATGGTCCAATATGGGCATGGAGCTAAATGGACACGGGCCTAAATGGACACAGACGATATTTTGTCCACAAATAAATGAACAGTTTTAGACGGGCCAATATGGATATGGACGCCCATATTGACAAATCTAGTTCTAAAGTACTACACTTTTTGCTACGAGTATTTCATTATCAGAGATATCATATTATAGAAAAGCTTGTAACTGTAGTTGCTTAATACATTCACTAAGTAGGCTGAGTATGTGTCAATCTTGTGAGGCTTCTATTATAGAAACTTGATTGCAGAAATGTCTTTGAGTTTGAGAGATTAAGTCTTACTCTTTATGTGACAGTAAAAGCTGCAATCTTGCTCTAAAAGTAAGACATTATATCTAAAGGGTCCAATTATATGGACATTAAGGTTATATATATATGTCGCTAAAAGAAAGATGTTAAAAGATAAAAGTTAGTTATTGTATAAATAGGCATTAATGTAATGATTGCAGACATATTTACGAAAGCATTATCTCCTAAGACATTAAAGAAGCATGTTGAAAGTACGGGTCTTGAGGATAACTCTTAATTATGTTGTCTTGTCTGTTTATGTAAAGCCTATATATGATCATGATTTGAGCTCTAATATATGTTAATGTTAATGACTTTTACATCTTCTATATATTCTGTATTCAATGTGCACACACATTATTGTTTGTTAACAGAATATGTCTTTTAAAGACATAAAAGAGATCATTGCGATAACTTCTGTTTTAAGTTTATGGTCTACCTATGAAGATAATCAATGTAGTAGTACATGGAAGGGATCATATTGCAAAATAATGTGTAATCGCCATGACTTTCATTGATTATTGGATTAGTTAAGACAATAATGATGACCAAATGAGAATAAAGTTATAACATATTATGTAGGCCAGGCCTATGTTTCCCGTAAGTAAAACTATAATCCATTATACTATAGACCAAGTGGGAGAATGTAAGTAATAATTTATTCCCTTTTAGTGTGGTCTTATAGTTACTAGTTTTAAGGAAATATTATAGTTAAAGTATTTGGTAACCAATGAATTAAGAGGTTAAGAAGTTTTATGCTACTTAAGCTAATGAGGGATATTGTGTCACACATGCATGAATCAAGAACTATTAAGTGACACCATTAAGGTTTATGTGTCACTCAATGACACAATAAAAAACTATATGTCAGTCAATAATACTCCATCTGTCCCATATTATAAGCAGTTTTGACATAATGTATCTGCAGTTTTTCGGATGTATGTGGATGGTTTTATCTGCAGTTTACATCCAGATACATCCAAAAAATTACAGATACATTATGCCAAAACTGCTTATAATATGGGACAGAGGGAGTAAGGTTTATGTGTCACTTAGTGGCACCATTAAGAAATTAGGTGTCATTCATGTAATGTGTTAAGGATTAATCATCAACACTTGTCACTTATTTTTTTAATCTCAATTTTGATGGACAATTAAAATTAAAAACTAAAAGAAATTCTAATGAGCATGTTGGTCCTCTCCTCTCCTATAAATACATGTCTTTGCTCCATCACAATGAAATAACAAGAAAAACACAACACTTGAAGTAAAAAGTTTGTAGGGAAGCGAAGAAAAACCAAATCTCATACTTAAAAGAATAAATTAAGTAAAAACTTTCAGCTAAAAACCTTTCAAAACACTTCTACTATAATGAATGGAGGTATTTTCTTAATCTTCTTTGTTCTACCATGTGATGATCTAGATGTTTAAAGAGTTTGGAGTTCATGTTAAATAAAGTTTACATGAATGTTTATTCTGTTTTAGATGCATGATGATTTTCTAACACAGGTTTCTTGTATCATATGATGGACCGACTTTTGTTCCACTGGAGGCATTCTTACTTGTGACCACATGTTTTGTTAAAGTTATCTTCTCTTCTTGACTAAAACCTTCCTAAATTAGCTCCTATACAAAAATCCGGATATTTTCATTTGATTCAACAACTATGATATATCTTGCAGGTTTCAGAAAGAAGGAGTCCTGTTTCATAACCACCATAAAGATTCAAGTGCCTTGATCTCAATCCGTCATTGGTGCCTTGATCTTGACTTGATCTCTACCGCCACATCTTAGATGTTCACAACTCCGGCCTCCACAGCGTCAAACTCTGCAAGGAGTTCATGAAGCTATATGCTTCCTAACGTTTTTCTTGTCTAGATGCTTTGGGGTAATTTATATTGATAATAGTAAATCCAAGTTTATATCCCTCTTACTTTATATTTTATATTGTTTCTTAAGTCAATTGATAAACCACTAGTAATAATCAATTGTTCCTTCTTCGCCATTAAATCATCCGTTGATTGATATGGCTAATGTTGGTGCCTTTGGCTAATGATGCTGATCCACAAACTCCAGTTGATCTGGATGAGTTGCAAAATGATGCTTTGGGGTTCTCTTTCTCTCATGTCTACGGCAAAGCAAGAAAGGGATTGAATTTTAATGATGGGGATGGAAAAGGAAGAATTGATCTCAAGGCTGAAGTTGTTGCTCTAAAAGATTCACTTTCTAAAATGGAGGCTGAAAAGGAAGCTAGCTTAGCTCAGGTTGGGAATAATTTGGAGAGACTCTTGAATCTTGAATCAATTGGAGTGGAAGTTGAAAACTTGAAGCAAACAGTCTTGAAATTGATGGAGGATAAGGAATCTTCTGAACTTCAATACCAACAGTGCTTGAATTTGAATGCGGATCTAAAACTGAAACTATACAATGAGCAAGAAGAAACACATAGGCTTAGCAGTGAACTAGAGGAGGAAGTTGCTAAGTTGAAGTTTTCTGAGGAGAAATGTATTGTTCTTGAGAAATCAAATCAGAATCTTCACTCTTGATTGTTTTAGTACATATTAGATATGAATAATATACATATGGCTGCATCTCCATCCGTCCACCAAGAAACACCACACCAGTATGACTGTGCTTCAATGTGTAATTGCTCATCGAAATTTGTATTTATCTATCCTCAAGAAGAAATAATCTGAGAATTAAGGCTAACTTTTATATGGAACTTTTAGACAAAGGACGAAGAGGACAAATAAATCTGCAGATTCTTTTCTCACAGCTTTTTCAAGTTGTGATCAAAGCAGAGCACAAACCATGTAAGCAAGCATTAATTTAATCTAGAGAATATTTAATCCACCTCATGAGAAGTGATGATAGATATATCCCCTGGATTTTGTGCCGACTTCTGGACGCGGAGACTTTATCTCAACCAAGTTTTCTTCAGATTTGGTCACGGGCGATGAAGATTTGCCAGAATTTTAATGGTGGAAAGTTCTCATCTGTAAATGTCAAGGAAGATATCATAGGAAGAAGAAGAAATCAAGTTCCAACAATAAATTGATGTGTATTAATAAAATATTTTGATTGGATGTTTTTTTTAATGAGGTGTCACTATGACACTTTCTGACAACACCAAAAAGCTGATGTGTATAATATGTCTAGCCTCGTCCACCACGGCTTCCACGCCCTCGATTTCCCCGTCCACGAGCTGTCGCATGCATCTCTTTAGCTTTTGTTTTGTTGTTGGTTTAACTGGTCTTTCCCGAAGGATCCTTTTACCCGAAGGTGTCACAAGATCGAGTGAATCCAACTCATTGTCGGAGGTCTTCTTCTCCTTGGGTAGAGATCAATGAGCCAAACCCCAAACCTATTAGAACCAAATCAGGCTCAGTTATCTTACTGCGGTTATCATGGACGGTAGAGGGATCTTGATCAATTGTAGAAGCTGTGACTGTTGTAGGCTGAGCATACGCCAAATTAGGAGTCTCAATAGAAGCATATACTGCTGTAGTTTTAGCAGACGCCGTATTAGGAGTCTCAATAGTTTCATTAACTATGACGATTGTAGGAGCGGTCTGAGCAGACATATTCTCAATACTGTATTGAGACTGCAGCAAGGGAAATAAGTTCATCGGAGCTTGGATCACTCAGGCTGGATTCATTACTTGCATTGGCAAGACTGCTAGAAAGAGAAATCTCGATGTCTGAAACTGTAGATGAGGTAGTGATAAGTAGGATTTTTGTATCAACTACTCTCAATCCATACCACTCATGTCATTGTAGTACTTGAGATGTCAATCCAAGTGGAGATTAAACTATCGAAATAAAGAAAAGGCAAAGATCAAGTTTTGATAAAAGATTGGGTTTTGTTTTGTAAAGATCTATGCTTTAAGCTAACAAGATGAAATAAAGGAGGTGTCTTGGGTGAGACTTAGTTGGGATCAAACGAGCTCAACCTTCCTTTCTCAACACACCAAGACTCAAGCTTTGTGCTTAGACTTTGGGTAAATCCGCCACTCTCGTGGTCAGATCGCTTTGCAAGCTGAGAATCCAAAGCTAGCTCTCGCTAGTGGACTCAAAGTTACAAGCTTTCACAAGATCTAGTCTAAAAGTGCACAAGATACATCCCAACAACCAATCTCTTAGGTTGGGAATGTTTCTCTCTATCGCTAGCTCTCTTAGGCATTAACGCAAACACCTTCTAGGTGTACTAGCCTAGATTCGCGACTTCAAGTGATCAAGAAGAAGCCGAGATATAAAGCTCTAGCTAAAGAAAAGCTGGTCAAGGGAGATTAAGGAAGAGGTTAACAGGAAGCTAAAGCTCTGACCTTTCCTAATCTCACCCTCGAAACCTCTAAAGAACTACTCGCTACTCATACTCGAACCGAAAGCAAAGAGGTAAAGAAAGCTAGAAATCATCATTAAGACAAGATTAGCAAACTAAGTACTTCTTAAACTTAAAAGATTCAAAGTAAAAGCTTACAAAAGATCTCCAAGAACAAACTGTTTTTCTTGGAGAGAAACTGGTTACAAGATAAAGATTGCCTAAAATTAGGTCTTAAAGGTTTATATAGAGAAGGGAAAAGTGTATCCTTTGGTCAACGTTTTTGCTTTGACTTCACAGATGCGCGCAGCTTGAGCAACTTCCTCAAGCACTCTGTTTCCTTTTGCTCAAGGCTCTGTTCCGTCTTGCTTGTTTTGCCATCCGATTACTCCGATCTCCTTCTGGTCCATCTCCGATCATCACCTCCGGTCCTCCTTCGCCATAAGCTCCGAATACCTGATAAATGCACCCCAAATGCAATGGAAATGCAAAATGCTATCCTAAAGGCTAAATGATCCTAAGTAGACTAAAGCTACACTAAATGTTATGAAATGGGACTCAATTATACACAGAACTATGCAGTATGAGAGGCTAAATGTATGCAAATGTTGAGTACATCAACACCCCCACACTTAGTCTTTGCTTGCCCTCAAGCAAACATCAACCAAGCATAAGAGTGTTCTCTGAGCAATAGAGTCAAGTGAAAGCCGAGAAGAGAAATTGAATCAACAACCTAGTTCCAAGGTCTAAAGCGCAAAAGATGTTCTCTACTTCAAAAATCTTAGCCGCACCTTCATAATCACAATCAATGACAACTAGCTCAACCTAAACATGCATTCAAATCCTCTACTCCTTTTAACATTCATTAAAGCTCAAAACAGTGAATCAAAACACATGCAAGTCAAGTTAACTCGTTTGGCCAATGGAAAGAGAGAGAGCAATCACAATGCAAGCTCATGTCAAATGACAAAGGAAGGGTTCTCTCAAGAAGAAGTGAAACAGCTTCGGCATAATGCTAAAGGCGAGAACCAATTGGGAGGTACAAGGACAAATGATCATCTACCCGAAACCCCAAGTACCTTTTGGTGACTCTCAAATCCGAAACTTCCTATTTCTACCCTTTTCCCTTTGGGTTTTCCTTTTCCTTCTTTTCTTAGAGCTTTTTGAAACTTTAGCGAATTTTCTAAGGCTTTTTGAAAGACAAACCTCGAGAGACTTGGTCTAAACTCTTGCCCTAACCCATCTTTTCCTTTTTCTTTTTTTTTTTTTTTTTTTTTTATTTTCTGATGGGGGCTTTCTTAAACTCACAGACCAAGCTCTTAATCTACCTTCAGCTAAAACGCCTCTTTTCTTTTTGCTCACAAGCTCTTTCTTTCTTTTCTTTTTGAATCCCAACCCCAAGACATTCCCAAACCCAAGTCCTAACCTAGTCTGGCCCAAAAAGCGTGGACCAGAATCTACATGATCACCTATCCTTGTCGGCTCAAGACCTAACACTTTATGCCAAGCTTTTTCAAAAGGCCTCACAACACACAAGAACAACATTTGGTTTGAAAGGAAGGGTTGGTTAAGGGCAGGGAGTTCTACTTGAATCAACAAAGAAGGATGAACAATAATGCAAAGATGATTCAAGTATGTATAATCCACGAGTTGAACTTAACAAGCATGAGCATGATAATTGATGTTCAGGTTCAGGTTTCACTTAGACAAGGAGCAGATTCAAATCACAGCAATGCATTCGGTTTTACTAAGACAGTCATGATGCTTTTTGATGATGCGGTTCTACCTTAACTTCAAGAACTATCAAAAGCGCCAAACAACTTAGAACTAGGGCACTGAAGCAATTCCGCAACTCAATCAATCAGCTCAACAAACATTGCTCAGATGCAAATGAAATGATCTTAACTACATGCTCTGTTTTTGGTTTTTTTTTTTAGCAATGCAAAAATGAAAATTTTACATGATTTTCTAAAGATGCAAATGCATGAGACTCAAAGGTTATGCAAAATATAAAATAAGAACATAAAGCACTTCGTCAAATACCATTGACCCTCTCCCCCACACTTAGTTCACACGGTCCCTTGTGTGATAAAAAGGCAGAAGAGAGAATCAAAGCAAAAGATAAGTGAAAATAGAAAAGAAAAGATAAGTGAATCCAGCCATGGCACGCTCAAGTTGTGCCTACAAAAAGAACAAAATGATAATAGAGTAAAATGCGCTTTAGTCTAGATTCTCGTCCGATCTTGTAGACAAGAAGGTCCCCGGCAACGGCGCCAAAAACTTGATGCAAGCTGGGTTTGTCTTCAAGTTTTACCCAACTTAAGTACCTGCAAGTGCACAGCAACGAGGTAAGTATAGTATGGGATCGAATCCACAAGGACCTATCGATTGTGCTACAAGAGTAAGAGTTGAAGCAAGCTAAAGCAAAATATGGTTTGAGAATGTTTTGGCAATAATGAATAGATGGAAATGAATGAGATCAATAAGGGGAAACACTAGACAATGGTAGATCGCCGAGATGCAACAAACTTAAACAAAGAAGTCAAGTGAAAGAGATTCATTAAGACCGTTCTTGAACTTAAATCACTAAGATATAGTTTTTCCACTTTCGTGGCTCCAACTACTATGTTTAAACAACCTAATAGACTCAGCTTTCGTTGGTTATTAAAGTTGTAAACATGCATTAAAGATGTTCAAGATTTAATTGTTCACAATACTCCACAACTCAACTTTCGTTGGCCGTGAACTATCGCTCACCAAATACTAGTTCCGGCAATATAACAAGCTTTTGGAGAGTATATTAACCTAAGATCCGATGCTAGATGATCAGAAAAGCAAACGGCATTATGCTCAAGTAAAGGTGAAGAACTCAAAGTTATCCCAATTCACAAGATCTCATAGGTTTATGCACTCATTGATCCACCACGGCCTAGTAAGGGATTTACTCGGCCATGGTGCAAACAAACAAACAAGATTTGAATGAAAGCATCATGCGAATATTAAAGAGAAAAAGGGATGAAGAAAGCTTCTCTATTGATGAACAAATCTTCTTTAACTCCAAAATCCAAAACGAAATAACAAGAACAAAGATGTAACGAGTTGAGCGGCGTGCGTGCGGCTTGGATCCGAGGAGGCTTCACTTCTTCCTTGGGGGTATCTCTTCTCTGACGGCGCACACTTTGACACACTCTAGACTCTCCGCTCAGCGGCTAAAAACATGTATATATGGGCGAAGTCGAGTAGGGTTTTCTTCATGCTGAAAAAGGAAAGTTTCTCATGCGCCGAGCCTTCTTCTCCACGTCGTGTATGGGCCGACATTGTACCAAGGAAAGCTCCAAACATTAGCCAGGCCTCTTCTCTATTCGATCAAGGCCTTTGGCGCTGCTGCTCGGGCCATTAGACACTCCAAATCCTCCATGGGCTTCGTTTACTCGCTTACCGGACATGTCTCGGTAGAAAATAAGTCTAGGCCTCATAGTTGATCCAAATGGCTTCATTCCACTTCGACGTGATGCATGACTCAAGTATCTATCTTTCCATATCAAGATCGTAACTTTTGGACGTCGGGAACTCCTCCGCGCGCGGCCAAACTTCCGAAGCTTCGTTCTGCGCGCAGCGAGAACTAACACTTGGAGATAAAATGGTCTTCTTGACTTGGAAACTTGCATGGATCTTGATTTAGGGCTCTTTTACTCCTTTTTGCATCCTTTTTGATTATTTCACCTACAAAGACTTCAAATCCCACAAATACAAGAAAACTACCTCTAAAGGCAAAGAATCTTGCAAAAACCGTTTGAAAACATAGTAATTATATAGTAAAATCATGTAAAATATGGTGATATCAACTCCCCCAGACTTAGCCTTTTGCTTGTCCCCAAGCAAACTAAGCAGGAAAAGAGGTTTGAAAACGTGAGAACTCTCAAATCTTTTGGAAATCCAAATTGACTTATGCTTTAGTAATCCACATGAAACAGCATTGGCAAGTTTTGAATTAAGAACAAAGTACATACCATGAGTTTTGCGATTTTCCCAAAGCGGTCCACCTCTCCTTGGACAATCCAATTCGCCACCCTTGACTCCTTTCATTTCTAAAGGTGTGGTCTCAACTAGGGAGTATCGATCAGCCGGCTTTAGACTTTCTCATCCCCTTGTTTGGCACTTGTCTTTTACTCCATGTTTCTCCTCTCTCTCTTCTCACTTCTTTGAGTTGATTCATCCCTTTTTTAGGGTAGCGAAGTATTTTTTTATTCAACTCCTTCTCTTTATTATAGAGGTTTTGCTTGGATCTTCCACAGACGCGAGTATTGATGGTGTTTGCCACCGAATCCCCGGTTGCTTGGATTCATAGGCCTTCCATAGACGCGAGTATTGATGGTGTTTGCCACCGAATCCCCGGTTACTTGGACCTTACGCTTTTTCTTTTAAATTTGAAGGGGAGAGAGAGGGAAGCACGAACTCACTAAGACTTTTTCATTTGATGGAGAGGATGAGGAATCATGCCATTTGTATGCCAAGCCCCTAGCTGAGAAGATTAAGTTCATTAAGGGCGGAGTCAAAGATGGATCCTTCTCAAGTCTTTAGAGATGTAGGCGTTTTTGGTAGATCGATCAACTCATAGTGCACCTGTGGTAAGATGTATTGCCAAGAACTGCTCAATGGTCACTTAAACATTAGTACAACATGGTTAGATCCAAGATAAGGTCATGATTCTCGACAAAAATTTTGACTCAATAAAAACGACTCGATAAAAGGGAAAAATGCAAATGAAAACGCCAAAATGAACAAACATTGTTAGTAATCCCCCCAGACTTAACTTGCACCGTCCCGGTGAAATCAAATCGGATTAAGAGAGGCATAACATGAAGTTCAAATGAAAAATTGAAAAGAAAAAGGTTTAGGATGATGTTACCAATGTCGACCAATTTATAATGAAGATCAGTTCCGGTTTGGGTCATTCTACACTTCTTTAGGCAATATTGGTCGGTGAGTTTTTAATTTCAGGCCTTGGTTTCCGCCGGTTTGTGTTTTGGCCGAGATTGGTATATTCGGTCGGCCAAAATGTGGTGCTGTGAACTACAGAACAAACCGTCAAAATTTCATGACCTATATTGAAATTTCATCGACCAACCTGGTATTTTATGCCTCTGGTGAAGTTTGGGAGCATTTGTACGAGCGGATTGAGACTTCCTTCACAAAATGGTCAAGTTCGGCTCCGGGAAGGAGTTTCCTTGGCCATGTGAAGTTTGGCTCGTTCCTTTTCGTTTCTTCCTGCATAAAAGTGTTAGTTAAGCTCAAAGAAGAGTTTTCCAACCGGTTGGCGCGCCTATGCCGTGATTTGGTTTTGTCGGCCATATTGCTTGCGCGCCATCGGCCAGAATGAGCTCCGTCGTCTATCTCATGATCCGTGATGATTTCTCCGTCCTATCTTTTGGATTTGCCGACCAAAATGTGATTTATGGTCGCCTGTGAAGTTTGGTGGACTTTGGTCACGCCGTTTAGGAGTTGGCCGTAATTTGGCTTCCTTGTGCGCGGTATGGCCGAGAGAAATGTCCGGATTGAATTTCTTCAAATCCACTCGGGCCAATTGAGATTTTCTTCGACCGAATTGTTTTAATAACCCTCCTGTGTCATTCCCAAGTGGTGGCCGCCTTGTTTCGTGTGATGGCCTTGTATCTCCTTTTAACCTCCCTTTGGCCGCCATATGCATGTTGGTTTTGAGGTTGGTTATAGGTTTGCTTTATTTCTCCTTCCTGTCAAATGGTTAACTCCTTGCAAAACACTTGAAATCATGATTAGATGGTTTCTCAGATTGTGATCCTCAAGTGACCAACTTGAAGTTCACAATCCAAGAGATTAAAGCACAAACTATAAATTCTTATTTGGTCTTGGTCAATGATCCAAATTTCAAACTATAGTTCAATCTCTTGTAATTTCAGTGAGCAAATGAGTTTTGACAAGTGATTATGTATTCTTTCCAATCATCAAAAGTAAATCAAGTTAAACCATGAAATATATTTGGTAAAGTGCAATGGTTTAAACGATTTTTCAAGTGAAGATCAAGAGTGATTAGAAATGAATACTAGGTGAGAGTTTACTTACCTTTTGGAAGAGAAACGCCTTGTACAAGGGTGGGCTCATTGGGTGGGACACTTCCATTGTTTGGTCTCCTTTGGGTCTTCATCCTAAGAAAATATTTTTGTATTTTTGTTTGATTTTTGAAAAACTCCTGCAAAATAGAAATAAATAGTTAAAAACCATATGGGTTGCCTCCCATAAAGCGCTTTTGTTTTAAGTCATTTAGCTTGACTCCTTCTCTTTCTTATTCTTGTGGTGCATCGGCCAAAGGTATGATTTCCTCTATTCCCTTTTCCGAGTTGGCTAGGTATGGTTTTAGCCTCTGACCGTTTACGGTGAAGTCTCCTCCACTAGGGTCCCAAAGAACCACTGCTCCATATGGCTTGACTTCTTTTATCTTGAACGGGCCAGACCATCTTGAGCGTAGTTTGCCGGGAAAAAGCTTGAGTCTTGAGTTGAAAAGCAGAACCTGGTCGTTAGCGGCGAAAGACTTAGGCACTATCTTCCTATCATGGAGAGCTTTGGTCTTTTCTTTGTAGATTTTGGTGTTCTCGTAAGCCAAGTGTCTTATCTCCTCAAGCTCGTTCAGTTGGATCAGGCGCCTCTCCGCTGCGGTTTTAAGGTTAAAGTTTAGCTCCTTGACCGCCCAAGCTGCCTTGTACTCTAGTTCCACCGGTAGATGGCACGCTTTGCCATAGACAAGATGAAATGGAGTTGTCCCGAGAGGTGTTTTGAAAGCGTTCTATACGCCCAAAGAGCGTCATCTAGCTTGGCTGACCAATCCTTTCTATTTTTCCCGGTTGTCTTTTGTAGGATGCTCTTCAATTCCCTGTTTGAAATCTCCACTTGGCCGCTTGTTTGTGGATGATAAGGGCTTGCTACCTTGTGCCGCACTCCATATTTCTTTAGAAGGTTTGCAAAGATCCGATTGATGAAGTGTGAGCCTCCATCACTTATCACAACTCTTGGAACTCCAAATCTTGGGAATATGATAGATTTGAACATTTTTATCACCACGCTCGAGTCATTTGTTGGAGCTGCTATTGCCTCAACCCACTTGGAGACATAGTCCACTGCTACTAGGATGTATTGATCTCCAAAGGATGTGGGGAAGGGTCCCATGAAATCAATTCCCCAAACATCGAACACCTCAACTTCCAAGATAAAGTTTTGCGGCATTTCATTCCTTTTGCTTATGTTCCCCATTCTTTGGCAAGCATCACAACGTGAGATGAATGCTTGAGCGTCTTTAAACATTGTAGGCCACCAAAAACCCGCTTGCAAGACCTTAGAGACTGTCTTGAACGTAGCAAAATGACCTGCGTAAGCTGATCCGTGACATCCATGGAGAATCCCGGCTATCTCTTCCTCCGGCACGCATTTTCTAAACAATCCGTCTTGGCACTTCTTGTAGAGGTATGGCTCGTCCCAGAAGTAAAATCTGATGTCTTTCAAGAATTTCTTCTTCTTGTATCCATAGAAGTTTGGAGGCTCTATGTCGGCCGCGAGATAGTTGGCTATATGACGATACCAAGGCGCGCCAAAGGCATTTCTCCTCTCCGTGGTCGCTTTTGGTGGGGTCTCTTTCCTCGACATAGGTACTGCGCTTACCGCATAGACCGTTTCCTCTGGTAATGAGTCATCTATAGGTATGCTCTCTTCGATTCTCATTCTTGAAAGATGGTCGGCCACGCCATTCTCCGCGCCTTTCCTATCGATGATCTTTAGGTCAAATTCTTGCAAAAGAAGTATCCAGCGTATAAGTCTTGGCTTTGCATCTTTCTTTGACAGCAGATACTTGAGAGCCGCGTGATCGGTATGCACTATAACCTTGGAGCCAACGAGATATGAGCGAAACTTCTCGAATGCAAAGACAATCGCCAATAACTCCTTCTCCGTGGTGGCATAGTTGCATTGTGCCTCGTCGAGGGTCCGGCTTGCATAGTATATGACGTGGAGTTTCTTCTCTTTCCTTTGGCCTAACACAGCTCCAACGGCGTAGTCGCTTGCGTCGCACATAATCTCAAAAGGAAGCTCCCAATCCGGTGATTGTACAATCGGCGCGCTAATGAGAGCTTCTTTGATTTTCTTGAACGCCGCGAGGCATTCTCCACTGAATTCAAACGCCACTTCTTTGCAAAGTAACTGAGTGAGAGGGCGCGCTATCTTGGAGAAATCTTTTATGAACCTCCTATAAAATCCCGCGTGCCCTAGGAAGCTTCTTACTCCTTGACGTTCTTGGGCGGTTCCAAGTTCACCATTACCTCGATCTTGGCTTTGTCAACCTCAATGCCTCTCTCCGAGATTCTATGACCGAGCACGATCCCATCTCTCACCATGAAATGGCACTTCTCCCAATTTAGCACTAGATGCTTCTCTTCACATCTCTTGAGGACCTTGCTAAGATTTGACAAACAAACATCAAAGGATGTGCCATAAACTGAGAAATCATCCATGAATACCTCCATTATGTCTTCTATGTAGTCTGTGAAGATTGACATCATGCATCTTTGAAACGTAGCCGGTGCATTACACAAGCCAAAAGGCATTCGCCTATACGCGAACGTTCCATATGGACATGTGAATGTTGTCTTCTCTTGGTCGTCGGGATGGATTGGGATTTGGAAAAAACCTGAGTAACCATCTAAGAAACAATAGTAAGGATGGTTAGCAAGCCTTTCAAGCATTTGATCTATAAAAGGTAAGGGAAAATGGTCTTTTCTGGTCGCGGCATTGAGTTTACGATAGTCGATACACATCCGGTGGCCAGTGATCGTTCTGGTGGGTATGAGCTCTTCATTCTCGTTCCTTATGACCGTCACTCCTCCTTTCTTTGGAACTACGTGGACCGGGCTCACCCATGTACTGTCCGAGATAGGGTATATCACTCCAGCTTCCAAGAGTTTCATTATCTCCTTCTTCACCACATCTTTCAGGTTTGGATTTAGTCTCCTTTGATGCTCTATGGAGGACTTAGACTCATCCTCGAGATGTATCCTGTGCATACAAAGTTCTGGGGAAATACCGGTTATATCCTCAAGGGTGTACCCAAGGGCTTTGCGGTGTTTTCTTAGTTCACAAAGTAATAGCGCGGTCTCTACATTTGATAGATTTGAATTGATTATCACCGGGTATGTATTGTTGGGACCGAGAAATGCGTACCTTAGCCCTACGGGGAGCTCCTTGAGCTCGACTTTTGGAGCGCTCAACTCACTCCATGGCTCCTTTGACGGCTTGGATGCATCCCTTGAGGCGTTTGTGCCCATTACTTCTTCCTCCAAGCCAACATAAGCTACCAAGTTCTTGTACGTCTCCGCGTTATCGAGTGATTTGGCTATGTCTCGCGCTTCTCTACTAAAATAGCCTCCTTCTTTCTCCACACGGGTTAGTGCCACTTCTAAGGGGTCGTCCATTATCAGCTCCTCATACACTCCTTCAGACACCTCACTTAAATTGTCCACCAAGAAAGAGAACCCGTCGATAGTTGGCTTTTCCAAAGTTTTGTCAATTTGAAACTTCATTACCAAGTCTCCCAAGTGTAAGTCTATCTTTCCTCCCTTGACATCAATAATGGCGCCGGCTGTGGCTAAGAAAGGTCGCCCTAAGATCAGGGGATCTCTTGGTTCTTGGTCTAGTTCCAGCACCACAAAGTCAGCCGGTATGAAACATTTACCAATCATGACTTGTACATCACTCACGATGCCAATGGGCCGCCTCACCGATCGATCAGCAAAGACCAACTGAATCTTTGTGGGTCTAAAGCTTGTTATGCCAAGGCGCTTGGCCACTGTATAGGGCATAAGATTCACGCTAGACCCTAAGTCACAAAGGCAGCGTTTAAAGATCGTACCTCCGATTTGGCATGAGAGAACAAAGCTCCCCGGGTCGTCAAGCTTCTCCGGGGTTTTGTTTTGGAGGGCTAGGCTACAATCTTCTGTTATCAACATCACTCCCTCTTCTAGACTCAAGTTGCTAGTGAGTATGCTCTTCATATACTTCCTCAATGATGGAATAATCATGCAAGCATCGACAAAAGGGAGCCTTACGCTTAGTTGGCTCACAAGGTCCTTCAACTTTGCTTGCTCTTTCTCTTTCTTGGGCTTCTTCACTGATCCGGGGTAGGGCACTTTTGGCTTATATACGCGCAGAGTAGGTGTTGTTGGCGCGGCGCTCTCCTCAAGATTTGTCTTTGTTTGCTCGCCAGCCGCTTCTTCCACGCTTTCCAATATTACCTCCGGTTGAGGTTCTTTCCTTATGAGCTCCGGTGGCATCTCCACTTCGTCTAACTGCGTACCGCTCCTAAGAGTGATGGCCGCTATATGTTCCTTCTTGGGGTTAGCCTCAGTTCGACCAGGGAGGACTCCAAGCGGTTTCTTGATTGTACCGGCTATGTTTGCTATTTGAAGATCAAGCTCCTTGATGTGCGACTCTAGCGACCCAAATTTATTGTTCAAGTCGTGATACACATAGTGTATCTTCTCATTGATCTCCTTGTTCGCCTTTCTCTGTTCACCAATGAACTCATAGATCAAAGCCTTAAGCTCTCCTCCATGGTCCTTAGCGCCAAGTCGGGTTTCAGCCGGATGTTGTATCTCTTGCTTGCTTATGTAAAGCACTCCCTCTCATCGATGTTGGTCCGTTGTATCTTGCTCTCACGGGGGCTCAAGCGATGCTCCGGTTCTCTCTCCAAAAGCTTAGCGATCATGGACTTCAGCTCCTCAAACTCAACTAGTCCCGGTCTCGCGTTGATTGCCTTGATCGTTTCTTCATAGCTCGGTTGATTCTTGCTGTCACTGACCGCTAGGTTATCAATCAATGTTTTGGCTTCCTCTATGGACTTACTCATGAAGTTCCCGTTGCTAGCTATATCAAGATACAGCTTGTGCTCGCGCCTTATTCCCTCATAAAACGTGTTCCACAAGTTTACTTCCGAGAAGCCATGTTGTGGGCAATCTCTTATGTATTCCTTGAAGCGCTCCAATCCCTCATGATACGGCTCTATTGGCCCTTGCTGAAAGCCAACGATCTTGCTCCTCATCAAGCTAGTCCGCTGCTTTGTATAAAACTGACCAAGAAAAGCTTTCTTGAACTCCATCCATGTAGTGATTGAGCGAGACGGGAGAGACTTGAGCCACTTGAGTGCTTTTCCCGCCAAGGTAAAAGTAAAGAGCCGGCATCTCAAGTAGTCGCCCGGAACTCCATTTGCACTAGTTGTGCTGCACAATTCTTCAAAAGAATCGACATGATCCAACGGATCTTCTTCGATAAGCCCGTGGTATTGACTTTGTTTTACCAAAGCAATGACTCGCGGCTTGATCTCAAACTGGTGGCCCTCGTAAGTCCGGATAGGGCTACGGCTTTGGAGAAGCTCTGGTCTAGAGTCACTGTCTCCAACGGTCTCTTGGTTCTCCCCTCCTTGGTGATCGCCTAGGTCTCCTCGGTGTAGCCTATCGGCTCGGTTAAGCTCCGGTCCAAGGCCTTCTCGTGGTATGCGGTCTTGGACCTCGTCCAAAGGCGGCTCATCAAGATGGTTCCTCCAAGGATTTGGTTGCTGGTCACGTATTTCTCCAGCCATGGCACGCTCAAGTTGTGCCTACAAAAAGAACAAAATGATAAAGAGTAAAATGCGCTTTAGTCTAGATTCTCGTCCGATCTTGTAGACAAGAAGGTCCCCGGCAACGGCGCCAAAAACTTGATGCAAGCTGGGTTTGTCTTCAAGTTTTACCCAACTTAAGTACCTGCAAGTGCACAGCAACGAGGTAAGTATAGTATGGGATCGAATCCACAAGGACCTATCGATTGTGCTACAAGAGTAAGAGTTGAAGCAAGCTAAAGCAAAATATGGTTTGAGAATGTTTTGGCAATAATGAATAGATGGAAATGATGAGATCAATAAGGGGAAACACTAGACAATGGTGGATCGCCGAGATGCAACAAACTTAAACAAAGAAGTCAAGTGAAAGAGATTCATTATAGACCGTTCTTGAACTTAAATCACTAAGATATAGTTTTTCCACTTTCGTGGCTCCAACTACTATGTTTAAACAACCTAATAGACTCAGCTTTCGTTGGTTATTAGAGTTGTAAACATGCATTAAAGATGTTCAAGATTTAATTGTTCACAATACTCCACAACTCAACTTTCGTTGGCCGTGAACTATCGCTCACCAAATACTAGTTCCGGCAATATAACAAGCTTTTGGAGAGTATATTAACCCTAGATCCGATGCTAGATGATCAGAAAAGCAAACGGCATTATGCTCAAGTAAAGGTGAAGAACTCAAAGGTTATTCTCAATTCACAAGACTCTCATTTTAGGTTTATGCACTCATTGATCCACCACGGCCTAGTAAGGGATTTACTCGGCCATGGTGCAAACAAACAAACAAGATTTGAATGAAAGCATCATGCGAATATTAAAGAGAAAAAGGGATGGAGAAAGCTTCTCTATTGATGAAAGATTGAATCCTTCTTTTAACTCCAAAATCCAGGAAAACGAAATAACAAGAACAAAGATGTAACGATTTTTGTGCGATCGTGCGTGCGGCTTGGATCCGAGGAGGCTTCACTTCTTCCTTTTGGGGGTATCCTCTTCTTTTCTGACGGCGCACACCTTTGACACACTCTAGACTCTCACGCTCAGCGGCTAAAAACATGTATATATGGGCGAAGATCGAGTAGGGTTTTCTTCATGCTGAAAAAGGAAAGTTTCTCATGCGCCGAGCCTTCTTCTCCACGTCGTGTATGGGCCGACATTGTACCAAAGAAAGCTCCAAACATTAGCCAGGCCTCTTCTCTATTCGATCAAGGCCTTTGGCGCTGCTGCTCGGGCCATTAGACACTCCAAATCCTCCATGGGCTTCGTTTACTCGCTTACCGGACATGTCTCGGTAGAAAATAAGTCTAGGCCTCATAGTTGATCCAAATGGCTTCATTCCACTTCGACGTGATGCATGACTCAAGTATCTATCTTTCCATATCAAGATCGTAACTTTTGGACGTCGGGAACTCCTCCGCGCGCGGCCAAACTTCCGAAGCTTCGTTCTGCGCGCTAGCGAGAACTAACACTTGGAGATAAAATGGTCTTCTTGACTTGGAAACTTGCATGGATCTTGATTTAGGGCTCTTTTACTCCTTTTTGCATCCTTTTTGATTATTTCACCTACAAAGACTTCAAATCCCACAAATACAAGAAAACTACCTCTAAAGGCAAAGAATCTTGCAAAACCGTTTGAAAACATAGGTAATTATATAGTAAAATCATGTAAAATATGGTGATATCAATAGGTGCTCTTGCGGAGATAGTGGATGTTTATTGCCTGAGGGTCAACCGGCTTCTCAAGCGTGATTCCGTAGTTCATGAGGATCGGCATTATGAGTCCTCCACAACTCAGCTGTCCACTGCTTGCCTTGTGCACTTTGTTGAGAGAGAGAGCATACTCCCTGTAGCTGAGGAAGCTCTTGAGAAGATACGTCGGCACGCTGTTCCCTGATCTGTCCCCGACCATCTCAGTCCCATCCGGCAACGTGTGAATCACCTTCTTCATCCCTTCATTTAGGAAGAAGAGCTCCTTTTCGGTGACACCAGTAACGTCTCGCCTCGCATAGATGGTGTGAGCGAGGGACTTGTGGACGTATCGGAGCACGGGGTTCCTGATGTGTA